GCCATGACTCAAAATAGTTGATGTGGAATAAAATAAGAACATGATGTTCAAATGGAAGGTGTTAATATAAATATGTTTATTTAAGCTATTTTCTCCGTGATCACATGCTGTTGTTGATTGTATGTTAATGTGGTGCTATTCTATGAGTTAATGCTGGCTTAGGTATATTTTCACTCAGCGTTTCGTTGAGCGTGTAGTCGTTGTTGTTTGACTGCACGCAGGTAAGAACACAAAATTTGATGGGCAACCCGGAGGGCAGTGAAGTGGTGGTGGCGTGGATGGCTTTTGTTTACTTTAGTAATTAAACTACATTATTTTATTTGATTATATGGATTGTTGGACGTTACTTTAGTTTTATTATGTTTCCGCGACTTTTGGACTTGTTTTATTACTCCGATAAATTTTGGTTTAGTTTTAAACTCTCACGGATGAATTTATAATTTATTCAGTTGGTTATTTTTTAAAAAATTATGCATGCGAATACCAATTTAGTAACAACCTGGTTCGCTAACCCGTTGGTTCGGGTTACGCGGGTTGGGGTGTTACATTCTGGTATCGGAGCATGTGGTTTTAAAAACGATTCTTTGCCAAAATAATTAAACTTATAAAAACTTTTTTGTTTTTGTAAAAAAAGTTAACAATTTCAAAAAAAACTATTTTGTTTAAAAACAAAAAAAAAATGATTTATCAATTTTTTTAAAAAATTGATGTTACGAATTTTGAAAAAACTATTATTGTATATACATGTGTCGAGCATCCGCAGCTTCACTGCATCGCTGCTCCGGGAGGTAACCCTGAATCCTTATTGTTGCTTATGCAATAATTAATTGTTGTCTTTAATATTTAGTTATTGGTTGGTTTATTAAGTATATAAAGAAATACTTAGGTATAGTGAATTTGGAGGGTGAATCTTAATTAGGGGTGTATTTGGTGAAAAGTAAAAAAAATGTGGATTTTGATATCTCTAATATTAAAGTCCTAATATTGGTGTTGGTAAACTAAAAAGGAATTTAATTGTGAAAGCTAGAGATATGGGAAATTTCCAACCTTAATTCACCACTATCAAAAATGAGAAAGACGTTATCAAAATCGAAAGAGATGAAGATGGGAAAACTTTGTCTCAACACATCAAAATCCTCGCATCCAACTCTATGTCTCCTTCCCATGGGGCAACGGGAAAGTCGTGTCTCTAGCAGTGGATCTGGATCATCGACAATGACGGCCAAGGAATATGTTTCCTATTCATAACTCGTGCTCACCGTTTAGTTTCCTATACGTTCCTCTACAACAAACGAGCCTAAGTCAAAACTCACCAAACGAGCCTAAGTCATAATTCACAATTATCCATGACGACTAGTGCGATCATGTTATATTTATAATTGTGAGAAAAAAAATATTATATAACATGTTGATAACATGTCTAAGAGTTAATAAAAAAACAAAAAAAAAACACATAGTCACAGTTGAAAATTCCAACCATCGGAGTCGGATTGGAAACATTAGTAGTTGGTTCGTATAAAGAATGTAAATATGAAGGGGGAAAAATGGTATAAAAGAAAGTAGATATGAACTTAGCTGCCGGTGCCAACTTGAGGGAAATGGATAACTCACAATTATCCTCGAAGTTGATTTTGATTAATTTCAGACCAAATTTGTTGTGCTGAGATTCTCAAAAGATAATTAGCTTTCTCAAAATTGTAGCATCACACCACCAAAGACTTATTAATGCTTAATATTGAAATACAAGGTGGCTCAATAGTATGGGATGAATCACACAACGTAAATATTCTAGAAGAGAATAACAAGATATGTACTAATTCGCTAAATTTTATATATATACAAAAACATCTCACAGTTGAAGATTTATAACTATCACCATGTTGTAAAGTGTACGTAAAACTCATGTCTAGAATGAAATGTTCCCAACAAATAATTGTTGAACGAAGAAAATGAAAACAAATATTAGGGGTTGAACCATTAGGATTGACTCTAAACCAAAGTATTTTGGTGAATACACATAATTTGAAGCAAATAAAAAAAACTTATAAATTATAAGCTACTTAATGAACTTACGCAGCTAATAATAAATATCATATTGAGCAGTGATTCACAAGAAAGAATTTTTGAATAAGATAGTTTTGCGGGTAGTTACCGTATATTAAAAAATAATTACCATATATTTAGGCTATGTAAAAGATTACTAATTAATAAGTTATCTTGAGAAAAATATATATATAATATATAAGTGAATTGGACCGACGTTAGATTAAATTTGAAGAAAGTAGCTTCTAAAGGTTACTTTTAAGGAATTTAAAAGTTTTGACAATTATGATACTTTTAATGAGATTAATTTTCTAACGACTTATTAATTAATACAAAAACAAATTGTGTATATGAATCAATTAAACGAGGGTTGCTCGAAAAAAAATATATTGCAAAGGGGTGACTCTGAAAAAAAACTATATAAAGTAACTTCAAGAATAATTTCAGGTAAGCTTGAAATTAAATTTGTTCAATCCATGCGAGAAAAGGGTATATTGTAGCACTAAGGTAAGGTGGGAAATTGGTGGCCTAGTGACATCGTTAAAAAAAACTTTATCTAGTATTCAATAGAATCACTGAATACTGAAATGACAACCAAATTCAGATGGGGCTGCAGACTCAGACGAATGAGGGTGTTTTATATCGGTGTCAGATGATGATGATAATATAAGGTAATGTGTAATGAAAGAAGGAAAAAAAACAATACGTTTCCTCTTTACAAAAAGGGGGTAAGAAATAAAGTTTGTAAAAGGTTCAAGGTAAATTGTTACTTTCATAAAAATAATTATTTTAAGATTGGGTGTTAATCGTTTAGATAAGCGGCGTAGTGATTAAGTCACTTAAACATTTTCACTAGAGAACTTTTGATAAATGATTAAAACGGTCATGTTGCACACACAAAAAAAAAGAGAGAAGAAAATACGTAATGTCGTATCCAAAAAAAAGTAAAATGTAATGCCGTGAAGTATACCCTAGGATTTAGTTTCAAATATGTAACAAATCGTAATTTTAATTTTTGTTTAAATTAAATATTAAAAAAACAACAAAAAAATGTTAGTGCTAAAATTAATTGATTTTCAAAGTTAAATTTGGTGGGAAAAATTCATATTCAAATTGAAACTCCTGACAAGACGAGTTCAATGACGTATTCCGCGTGCGAATCTGGGCTATGGAAGTTAGGGAATTTTCAGTCCCAAGACTGAGAAGATTTTAGAGTAAACGCGTAAAATACAAGGGGGGCGTGGAAATTATGTTAACTCACGAATCCTGGATCGTTGGGTAGGTCTCACAAAAAGGGTGACCCGTGAAATATTGTTGGTCAAGTTGGAATTATGTTTTAAAAGTTGTCAGCAAAATAAATGCTACAGTTCAGTAATTTTATAATGGAACCTTTAAGAACAAAATAAGAAATGTTCACCCCTAAATGCAAAACCACCACGGAGTGATACTTTCCAAGTCAAAGGCCCATTTATTGTTAGACAAATGTGCAACTCTAGAGGGGGGTGAATAGAGTTGTTTTCAAGAATGTGCGTTTTTCGCGTGTGTGAAATAATAAAATCACAGGAATAAATAAAGAGAGTAAGGGAAAGAAGAACACCGAGATTTATACTGGTTCACCACCTCGTGGCTAGTCCAGTCCTCCGAGAGACTCTCTCGAAACTCCTACTAATCTTCAAGCTTCAACAGGTGCTTGAAAAACCAGTACAACTTGAGAACTTGAATCACACAAGCCTCACTTTCTTACAACAACAAGACTTGAGTCACACAAGTCTTAAGAACAACACTCAAATGAGATTGAGTTTACAACACAAGAATGAAAGCTCACACAATTGAGCAAAGTAGTGTTGAAGAATTAAAGCTCTATGGATGACAAAATCTTTAGCACTCAATAAAATATTTCTAACTCTCAAAATAATACATTTGATGAGGAAGATGGAAGAAAGAATTGAATATTGATCAATGAAGATATTGGAGTGCAAGAGATATTTTTTTAATGAAGGAGGATGAGAGTTTTTATAGGGGAAAAAGAAATAAATCCGTTGGAAGTAGGGATGAAGTGTTTTTGACAGATTGGACCGTTGGGGATCGATCCAGGGCAAAGGATCGATCATCTGGAGTAAACTTCCGAAAATAAATTTGTGTCAAAAGAACGGGGGATCGATCCAAGGCAGAGGATCGATCCTCTGGAACCAAAATTCAAGGGACGGATTTTTGCAAGGCTACGTGGGATCGATCCACACTCAAGGATCGATCCTACGAATCAATTTGGGAAAAATATATGATCGATTCATTCACTTGGATCGATCCAGGCTCGGATCACTCTGCACAGGTGATCGATCCAGGAAGGATGATCGATCCCCTAACGAACAATGGCCAAACAAGGAGGACCCAAAGCATGTGTGCGAGTGGGGAGTACAATTGGAGCTTAATGTATTGTTTTAGACAACAATTTGAACATGATAAGGCTCCCATAAACAAACAAATCAAATGAGTTGAAAAGAATTAATTCAAATTCAAAATTTGAATTAAATAATGATTTTTTGTGTAAAAATTGAGTCCCAAAAATATTTTGTGTGTCAAACGATGTACAGGAAAAATCTTTAAAGTATATTTTTCTTACCACAAATGATTTGTGTATCCTTAAAAAAGTATTTTAAGAAATTTTGACACACTATTTTGAAACTGACTCAGTAAAATATTTTTAGACAGAGAAAAAGTAATTTTTAAACTAACTCAAGAAATAATAATTTTTATTCCTCAGAAATTAATTTGTTTATGCAAAAATTATTGTCATCCTTACAAGAATTCTAGACTCAATAAAAATTAAAAAGTCTTCGGAGTCTTCACTTCACTTCAAAAAAAAAATCTGCGTAGGGGTGATCGTTGATTTTTATCGCCGTAAACTTCTTGATACCCTTCTTTGCTTTTCTCGATACGAAAAATAAATTTTCGAATATCGATTGAATTTAATCATCCTATTTGTCATTTATCAAAACAAAAAAGTATTCCAAACAATAATAAAGGGGTTTGAACTCATGTCCAACATTTATTAGATTTCCACCAATTTAGTTAGCACTGTTCGCCGTATCATCTTCTCCCCGTTTCTTCGTTGTTATTCAGATTTGCCAGGGGGGAACACCGGAGTATTCTCCAACTATTCTACATCATTTAAATTAGGAGTTTCTTCGTCATACGATTGGGTATTAATAAGATCTATCATGTCCTGTAAGGAAACTATTGTGGCCCGTTGTGAAGGGAGAGATCTTTGAGTTTACAACACGATTTTGACTTGAAGCAAGTCAAGGTCGAGCATTCAGTACTGTCTAAAATGTTACATCCGCCTTCTATCCTCAAGTGAAAATGGGTGAATCACAATAGATTTTGTAATTGGCTTATCCTTACGAAGTTGTATGGGTCATTGTGGATCGTCTTACAAAATCTACACACTTTCTACCTGCTCGATGGGATATGTCGTTTCTGAAGTTAGCTGAATTGTGTCTTCGTGAGATTGTTCGATTGCATGGAGTGCCAGTATCTGTTATCTCCGATAGGGATCCCTGTTTCATTTCAAGGTTTTAGAAGGTACTTCAACAAGCTTTGGGAACCAAGCTAAATGTGAGCACTATCTTCCACCCTCATGGCAGAAATTGGTCATGTAGCGTATCAGTTGGAGCTACCCCTGAACTGAACAAGATTCACAATGTGTTTCACGTCTCTATGTTGCGACTTTACCGATCAGATCCGACCCTTTGGTTACCCGAGGAAACAATCACTTTGGACGATAACTTGACTTATGAGGAGGAGCCTGTACAGATCCTAGCACTAGAGGTGAAGCAGTTGAGAAATAAGAGGGTGCCTTTGGTCGAAATCCTGTTTCTTCAGTCGTTCTGCTCGTTGCTTCTGCGCTGTTCACAGATGACGGGAGGCAACGAAAGAAACCACCGCCATCTCCAGCAGCGCCGCCGTGACTCGCCGTCAATGCCAGTGGTTCCGAGTGACGTCCTAGTCCCGTCCCTCCATCGCGCGCAGCAGGCCGGCAAAATCAGAGAGTTGCAGCGGCAGTTCTCCCTCCTCGGTTAAGCTTTGAATTCGTCAAATTTCGAGGTGATTCGTGGTTTCTATACCTTCCGTTAGCACTAATTTGTAGATTAGAACTTCCTTGGCGTATAATCTTGCGATTTGATTGGGAATTTGTGATTGTTGTGTTGAAATTATGGAATTGGTATTTCGGGGGCTGTTTTCCGTCATCACCTCCAGTGATCGTCGGCAACGGCGGCGGCGAGGTGGCCGGAACTGGGCAGCCTCTTGATTTGGACCAATTGGATCCAATTGGCACCAATTGGGTCCAAATGGGTGCAATTGGGTTCAATTGGGTCGTAACGGGTTCAATTGGGTTCAATTAGGTTATTTGGATTTAATTCGATACAATTGGGTTGGATTGGACCGTTTAGGGCTAATTGATGGCTGTCAGGGTGGCTGTAAATCACCCAATAGGGCAGTTTGGTTGGGCTTCGGGTTTGGGCAGTCGGGGGCAGTTACTAGCAGGGTGCCGGGGTTGTTCCAGCGACAATGGGGACTGCTCCGGCGGGGTAGCGAGCTTGAGGATTGATTCCTTGGGCTCGATTCCGCGCAGGTAAGTTGGATTAATTCTAATTTGGGTTGGTTGATTATGCATGACGGTAATCGTGGATCCTCGGACCGGATAGGCCGCTACGTGATTTGTTTTGAATTTGTGAACCAATGATAGATTAAATTAATCTTATTGGTGAATATTGTGGATTATGAATAATGTAAGAGAAATAGGCCACCCGGTACAATTAGGCGGACCTGAATTGGATTGACTGATTGAATCACCAATAGGATATGCTTAGGAAATTGGCCATTGCGGGGCGTTGTCGCACCCCCGGTGGTCTTGGGTTAAAAACGTACGTACGAAAGTCCGCGACCTGTCCTGGCATCGTAGGGACAGGGGCTTCAACCCGCCCAAAGTGAATCTCCTTTGGGTTTCGAAGCTGGCCCTTTTATAGCATCGCTTGGTGTGCCATGACTCAAAATAGTTGATGTGGAATAAAATAAGAACATGATGTTCAAATGGAAGGTGTTAATATAAATATGTTTATTTAAGCTATTTTCTCCGTGATCACATGCTGTTGTTGATTGTATGTTAATGTGGTGCTATTCTGTGAGTTAATGCTGGCTTAGGTATATTTTCACTCAGCGTTTCGCTGAGCGTGTAGTCGTTGTTGTTTGACTGCACGCAGGTAAGAACACAAAATTTGATGGGCAACCTGGAGGGCAGTGAAGTGGTGGTGGCGTGGATGGCTCTTGTTTACTTTAGTAATTAAACTACATTATTTTATTTGATTATATGGATTGTTGGACATTACTTTAGTTTTATTATGCTTCCTCGACTTTTGGACTTTGTTTTATTACTCTGATAAATTTTGGTTTAATTTTAAACTCTCACGGATGAATTTATAATTTATTCAGTTGGTTATTTTTTAAAAAATTATGCATGCGAATACCAATTTAGTAACAACCTGGTTCGCTAACCCGTTGGTTCGGGTTACGCGGGTTGGGGTGTTATAATTCATGACTCACATACTGAAGATATTCTTTTTCTCCCTAGAAATGAGATCAGCCATAGTGCTACAATCGAATCTGTCGCTATCATATCTAGATATGGTTTCAAATTAATAGAAGAAGTTTAAATACGACAAGTCGTACATGAGACACTACTCGAACGTCATCACCTATGAGTACGAAGACTCATTAAACGATAAATGAGAGCTACCATGAAGATGAATGAACAAATGTTTCAACATAAGGTCGATGAATGACGAACTACTGTACAACTGATCGACAATACCTCCTCATAAATGATGACAAATCCCATATTTTGGACATCATGAACCAATAAAAGCCATTTGATGTTACTTACGAATCATTGCTGAACTATTAGAACGATTGCTGAACTATTGGGTGAAGATTACGGTATGACGTATGAATTAAACAACATCCAAATCTTCCACTACAACTATCGCGAACTTGAAACTGCAAATGCTACTGAAAGATTTTCAATCAAAGAAAGAATGTTGTTGACTAATGACAAACAATCAAGACTTGTGAATGAACGAAGTATGTCAAATATGCTCCAAAATACAATGTTATACCCTGCAAAGGAACCCAAGTTATGGATGTTGAATTTGAACAGGAACCCGCAAAAGGATTGTTGGATACCTTGTTTAAATCTAAAAGATTGTTAACCTCTTGAAGAAAAAGAACGAGTTTGATAACATCGACAGTTTGAAAAAAATATATCCGTGTGGATAATGACGTAATTATGGTTTAACCGAATGAACATGACATGGTCATGATTAAGTGAGATCACTACAAAATATTGAAGGTTTGGCCTTAGAAGAATTTTTAGGACGAAATTCCTTTAAGGGGGGAGAAATGTAACACCCCAAAACATACCCTAATATTTATTGAATTAAATATTCAATTAAATAAATTTTTTTGATTAAAAATAAAATGTTGTTGGGCCTTGGGCCAAAATAAAATATGTTCTGATATCCAATATCATAATCCGGATAAATCTCATAGAGAAAAATCCAATATGTTGACTTATTGTGTGACAGACCCAAAATCAGTAATAAATGAATAATGTGTTTATGATGTAAACTTTAAAATGATTTATTAAAATAAATCATGAAAATAAATAATATGAATTTAGTATGAGCACCTTTTTAAAGTAAAGGTCAAATAAATCAATTTTGACTTTGTCAAAGTCAAACACCAAAAATATGATGCCGGAAAAAGTATAACAAATAAATGTAAAAATTATATCGTTGGATAGAGTTTAATTCTACGATCGCAACGGTGCAAACGGATTTCAATTCGGAGAAAGTTGGACCAAAAAGTGTATCCCAACTGGGACCGAAATTAGTCCCAATCAGAGACTACACAACAAACGGCGCTCCACCAAAATATATAATTCTTCATCCTATCCTATTGTTTTGTGTGAGGAGCACACACTGGTGCTGTCAGCTTTGTGAGAGGTCGCCGGAGCAGTGAGATATAGTCGCCGGAAGTTTCACCGGAAAATTTTCAAAACCTCCCTTACGCTTCGAGGTAAGCCTGTAGATATATCTAAAGACTAGAATGTTCATGTAGGTTGTTTTTACGTTCATAAATAGTCATTTGGTTGAGTTTTGTGTTTGACATGTTTGAAGAACCAAGAATCATAAACCTTGAATGGTGTTAAAAATATGTTTTAATGATTCTAAACTGATCCATTAACCTCGGAGAACATTCTATATAATTTAATTGAAGTTTGGTGTTTTAAAATCATAATACTCGAAACTGACCAGAGGAAGATGATGAAGAACAGTAGTAGAAAATCGATTATTTTCTTCCTAAAAATCGATTAGAACTTTATTCAGACGAGGTACCAAGAAATCAGATTTTAATCGATTATTTATGAAACAAAATTCGATTTTAGTTGTTTAATCGATTATTTTTAAACCAATAATCGATTTATTTGATTTAATGGATTATTTTAAAAGCAAAAATCGATTTTTATGATTAATGGATTATTAAAATTTAAATAATCGATTTTCCTCAATCAGTTCAATTCCTGTTCCGAAAATATTTCTGGAAATGTTGCTTTAGAATCATATTTTTGATACCAATTGATTGTGATCATTATAAAAATGATTTTTATAGTAAAAATAATGTTTTGAACATATAAAAATATTAAGTGATGCATGACGGTAAGTTCGGGTGTTAGCACTCGAAACTAGACCGCTGTTTATTATCAAATGTTATGTTGATTGATGATTATGATGAATAATTATTATAATTATGACTTGATGAAACCATTGATTAAAATGATTATTGAAGATTAAATTATGAATTGAAATGAATATATTGATGATTTTGAAATTATTTAGATTGTAAGGATATCTAGAAGAACTCTCAGATATATTGACATTGGTTTCTAATACTATCTAGAAGACCTCTAAGATAGATTAGAAATAGGTCTTGCGGGTATGATGCCTGGTGGCTAGGGTTAAAACGTACGTACGGGATCCAAGAACCAAACTTGAGTACCTACTCGTTTGGGGGTACCACCCAACCCAACAGTGAACACTACGCTGTCGGTTTTTGGTTGACTTTAAACGAAGGTAAGTTTAAGATTTGAAAACTCTTTTTAAAAATATATCTTAAACTAGGCCTAGCTTAAGGATTAGAATATCTTGAACTAGAATTAGTTTAAGATTGGAATTGGCCTTAGACTAAATTAGTTTAAGGATATTGTTGAATATGAATGTTGAATATTGAATATGAATGTTGAATGTTGAATATTGAATGATGAATATTGAATAATGAATATTTAAACTGAACATTATGTGCATGATATCAAATGGTTGATTATGAATTGAGATTCAATTTATGTGGATGTTCGACGCATTAGATATGCTTACTCAGCTTTACCGATGAGCGTGTAGTGTGTTTTATTTGCTACACGCAGGTCAATAGAATGATATGACGTGATCCTGGAGGCAGACGAAGGCGAGATAGTCGGAATGGACGTGATGATTTTGAATTAAAGAATATAAATAAATTATGTTTGTGGTTATGATTTGTTAAGCTTCCGCAATATTGAAAACTCCGTACTGTTTATGTTATGAAAAATATTATTGCGATAAATAAAAGTATTGAAATGTTTTAAATTTTACGATTACCAAGTTAATAGTTTAATCTGAAAGGGGCTGCAGACCTAGACGGATTAGGGTGTTACATCGCAGGTTTGATTTCATATGCTTCCCGTTCAAATTAAAAGCCAATTTTGAGGTATTTTGAGTGATTTTCTTTGCCTAATCACATTCTAAAGTTTTGTGATCTTTCCAAACCAAGAATTGTGATTTTTGGCCAATTTGGGAATTCTAGCACTGTTCACAGTGCAAGAGGTCCAATGCAGATTAGTTTTTAACTCCACTATCTGGTGTTCCTTTTGGGTGATTCTCACAACTAATTCACAACCCTTTGCTCACTTTTATAGTGTTTTGACTGGAATTTATTACTGCTCGAGCTTTTATCGGGTTCATAAATTTATAATGGTTAGTAGTGGTACTCGGGTGTGGGGGG